TTTGTGGAAAAGGTAGGGAAAAAAAAAAATAAAAAAAAAAGAAAAAAAAAAAAAAAGACCAAAAAAAAAAAAAAAAAAAAAACAAAAAAAAACTGAAATTGTGCTAATAACTTTAACAAAATAATAATAAATGAATGATTATAGATATTATTGAAATAAATCTATTTAAATTATTGCGGCATAAAAAAAATACAACAATGCAAACAATCATGATAATTCTTCAAAAAAAAAAAAATCTACTAAGTTAGAGAACAATTCAGTGATTTCTGATAACTCTTACCATGCTATGGTCTCCTGTCTTTATAAAAGTCTTTTCATCTGCTACGTCCCGTTTCACCCAGCTGTAGGAGACCATGTAGCCGGTGATGGGCGGGTGGTAGATGGTCAGGGGGCGTTCCCAGCTCACCATCAAGGCCGTCTCATTCAGCGGTTGGATCTTCATGCTCACTGGGGCACTGCTACACACTGGTCCAGAATAAAGAGAAAAAATATGAAAAGAAGTCAGCATTGAAGGAGCCCCAAAAAAAGAAGAATGGGAAAGAAAACACAAAGAGATAAAAAAACATAAATAAATAAACATTAGCATGAATACTTTAGCAAAATGAGTTTGGTGAAGGGACTGAGTAGCTTGACTATTTTACAAGAAAAACCTCTAAATAAAAAAACTTCTAAATAATAATAATTAAAAAAAAACATATTTGAAATCTATTAACAAAACCCTTCTATTGGCTATACTGTGGTCAAAACCAGTCTCCAAAATGTACATTATAAGTCCCAACTTTGTTATGTAGTTCATACATTTCAAATGCAAAAGCTCCAACAGTTTTAATACAAACATAGAGAGTAAACCTACTTTCGATTATTTCCTCATTTGGATGTTGCTCTGTATAGGTCAAAGCATTTTGCGTGAGAAGAATGAAGAAGAAGAAGGAGAAGAAAAAAAAAAGCAAGCATTGTTCCTCCTCAAGGTGGCAGTGTAGGCTGTAGCATGGACACTGACACGAGCCTCCATCAGTATGAGCAAGGGACAATCTGGACAAGCCTCTCTGCACATCAGGGCAGTAGCAATCAGAAACTGGTGTCAAATGACTATGTGCTCTTAGAGTTTCTGCCAAATTGAAATTGTCACCACAATTTTCCCCATTTGCACAGTGAGACTGAGACGCAAATTATGCACCATGACATGTGAGAGATGAGAAGAAAGAAAGACAGGGAGGGAAGGGAATCAGTCAAAGGCACGCAGGGGAGAAAAAAAAAAAAAAAAAAACAAGAGGAAGAAAATCTCAGGGTGTTGATTAGGTGTGACAGGTGCGAAATGCATCATAACCTGTCGGATGTTCGTTGTCAGGTTCAGTAGCTCAAGAACAATAATTTAATAGCAGCTGAAGATGTCACTATGGTTTTGGAGGCTGAATCATTACTGTCCTGAAAAATCACCTCTCTTTTTACAATTAACACCAGAGTATTAATAACTCTCTGGAAAGCTTTTCATCAGCTCCCGCTTTGCATTTTAAAATATATTGCCGCGTTGCCTGCATCTGGGAAACAAAAAAAACAAAAAAAAAAAAAAAAAAAAAAAAATTAAAAACCACGCAACTTGTTTTGAATTTATCAGTAAACGCGACAGCAAAGGATTAATTTTAAACCTCACTGATCCACTGACATCACTCATTTTCTGATTCCAGGAACTGTTGCCGAAGATCTATTGAGGCTAAACATGATTAGCATAAAGTAGTCAGCATAAGAAACCATAAATGCAAATCTTTTATCGGAGTGAGTATTACAAAAATGCAAATGACATCATACCATTCATGTGTGAATTTATGCAATGCATACTCTAACCTCACAAAAAAAAAATAATCTCTAAAGCTTCGATCTCCTCCTGCAACACCACTCAGAGCAGAGAAGAGCAGAGCGTGAATCTTTCTCCTGGCAGCATTTACAATGAGGAGGATGAAATGACTCTCGTCAACAATGCTGCTCCACGGCATATCGCTTCTGAAAACTGTACGATATGTTTCAAAGCAGACCGTGAGCAGACGCGGGAATGATGCGGGGGAACATGAACTTATCTGAAAACGCGAAGAAAGGGACACATCTGACTTAAACACACACTAGCATTTTTCTAAACTTTGCAGCGAAATCATCTAAGGGATAAACACCAACACGGTAACTGCAACACCTGTTTTATGATAATATGGAGCTCTTGCTGGAGATACAACTTCAGTCTGAACTGCCTGTTTGAGTCATTTTTTTAAATACAAAACAAAATACAAAACATGCTTTGGTTTTAAAAGCTCTGAAGTCAGAATTTGCTGCTTCTCTTCACCTAAATCTCTTTTTGGAGCCAACAAAGACAACGCATCTAATGGCAAGACGCTCAACCTTGGAGTCTTTTAAATTGCGGCTTGGCATTTTCCACTATATCAGAAATTTTTATTTTAGTCAGTCAGCAGATGGAAAGAACAAACAAAGTGACTCATGCTAAAAATAAAAGCATCTACTTTGACAAAAACAACTTTTCCTTAAATTTAATTTTGAAAAAAAAAAAAAACAAAAAAAAACAACAAGGCTTTATACTTAAAAATTGTAGCAATGACCACATCTAAATTCTGACTTTCCGTGGAAGTCTTTACTGTCCTGCCTACAGCAGCGATGCCAGGTGGGCCATATGATCAAGTCTATGAATTTTTAGCTCACCTGTTAGATCGACTTTCTCAAAACAATTCCACAGTTTCTTAAAATAATAGTTGTTGTTTTTTTCTGAGCTTCCAAGCTCCTGCTGAACTGTTTTGCTTATATAAAAATCAGTCATTGTAACTTCGTCTAATGTCGATAGATATTCTGCTTCACTCAACCTTAAGGAAGTCTAAATTTCTGTCACAACATTTCCTCCCACATCAGCTCATAACACCAAAATCCACTTCTAATTGGCTGAGCAGTCCCCCATGACGACTCCTCTCTAAGACGCCTCAGACAAAATTCAAAAGAAAAAAGTTTTCTCCATCAAAGACGCCAGACCCGAAGCTAGTCACACAGCCTGATCAGCCTTAATGGACTGCGGTTGTGATAATGCTTGTTTTGATTGTGGCACAAAGTAAGTGGTCTGACTTTGACTCTGCAAGTCAGCGTTGTTCTTCACGACTTTGACGACAATCTATAACTTCTTTCCAAGTCTGCTAATCAGTTTCAAATTCGAAGTAAAGAATCTCCAGGACATTCTAAAATCTGTAGTGGAAAAGAAACCCATACCACTGATCTACACTAAACCAAAACTCATGGCTGGAAGCAGCCGCTATCTTATTGGCTGCCATCAAAAGCAGATTTGTCCTTGTGGCTTTGGATGTTTGGGTTTGTCATGTTTGCCCCCCCCCCCCCGTCCCCCCCTCCTTAACTTATTCTCTTAGATTAAAATAAGTCTGAATTACACCATCAAAATAGCCTCCTTCTATTTTAGAAACAGTACTGATCTTTTGATTAATGTTAATACACAAAGTGTATCTTAAACCTGAAAATGCTGGTTCCTCCTGTAGATTAGTGGTCAATGTCCTTGTTATTTTCTTTAGTTTTTAATTAATTCATGATAGACTTGAGCCTTTGTAACATTAAGATGTAGATATTTTTCCATGAACTCTTTAAGATAAGTTTGCAAGATGGTTCTTTCAATATATGTTTATCTTAAAAATATAACATCTTTCCTGACTGTCTTTGTTTCATACTAGCTGTGCATGTGGAATTAAATGTCTTAAGTTTTGGGTCTCTGTCGCACTTAAATGATTGAGATCACCAGACTTAATAATCTAAATGAACAACAAAAAAAAAAAAAAGCATCTTAAAAAATTCAAAATCCCGCACTCTTCCCCCGCCTCTAAAAAAAAAAAAAAAGAATCTCGTCACTTACATAAATAGAACCTATATGACAATATAAAATAAGGTAAAATATCTCAAAAGCAACACGTAAATAAATGCAGGAATGTGTGAGAAAGTCATTGTGAATCCAGAAAGGTCGCTGTGAAAGTTTCTCAGGAATGGTCAGAGAGACAAAATCTCTTAAAGGGCTCATGGACCACTTACCACTGCAGGCCTCAATTGTATCAGTTGGGGTAAATTTTCTTGAGCCGACAATAGGAAAGAGACTGGACAAAAATGGCATCCAGTAGGAGAGATCCAAGTATGAAACCACTGCTTAGCAAACACAACATAAGACCTGCCTGCCTCACATTTAGCAAAATAAATAAATAAAAAGTAAAAAGTCTAGTGAGAATTATGCCTTTGACTATAAAATCCTATAGGAGATGTCTGGCAATACATTTGCTACTTTAAGCACAAATTCACTTTTTGCTATGCAGCAAATCAATAATCCACAGTACACCAACAAGTCCTAAAAATTGCTTGCAAAATGAAGGCTTAGGAGTGGCCTAATCCAAGTCCATACCAAAACTGAGATGCAGTGGTATGACATTAAAAAGACCATCCCCTATAATGTGAGTAAAATAAAAAATAAAATAAAAAATCTGCAAAGAATAGGACAAAAATCTTTAACATGAATGTAAAAAAAAAAAATAAATAACTGCATGTTTGAATGGAATGGCTGCCTCCAATGACGGCATAATGTTAATTTGATTCAATATCCATTCAGAAAGTGGCCATGATCCTCATACCGTTTAAAACTACAAGCCACTATTTACTATATAAACAACATAAAATATTCCACTCATCACAAGAAAGAAAAGACTCTTTTACTCCTCAGAATGCCAATAGAGTTTTACATCTGAGACCAGAGAAACACGACTGCTCGGCGGACAAAGCAGAAAATAACTAAAAAGAAAAGAGAAGAAGAGAAAATGCGAGATATGCTGGCCCACATTCATCCTGCCCAGTGACATAACACCACAAAAGCAATTTCACAACTTAATTTGTATGGGTCTATTTTAGCAATGCCACATATTAATGATGATTGCTGATCGGCCCTTTCAGAGTGCTCCAACTTCATCACAAGCATTCCCAATCAATTCTCCCCACCAGACACCAACAACACCAATTTAGGGAGCAGCAGCCTTTCTCATTAGTCTCTTCAGTTCCTGCACTCTCTGCTAAAGTAAGCGCAGCAAGACGATCACATAAAAGAACAAAAGACAAACAAAAATACTCTGATCAGGCCTCGGATGTGGTCGGTTCTTTGTATGGTCTTTTATGCGTTATATGTCAGGTGTACCCCAAAAAGCAACTTCTAGTCATGATGAAATGTGTTCAACCAGCAACTTCTACAGTATATGAGTGAAACAAAATTCATTCACAAAAATTTTAAGATGCTAATGTTGGCATTATAAGCTAAAAAGCACTAGCAAAAATGTACTACTTTCATTCAGTATCTGATTTCGAGAAGCTACACAATGTTCTTAAAATGACAAAGGAGATTTTTTTTGTGCTTTCCATTACATTTTTCCATTTAACAGCAAAAACACCACCTGAAGGAAACTTTTACGTTTAGCTTAGGCATGTTGTAAATCAAATGCTTTGAATAAAAAAAATAAAATAAAAAAACTGTAAACTACCTCTGATACTGAATTTGAGCTCCTTTCCATTTGGTTTTCATTTTTGTGTGAAATACTTTAAAATAAACTAGCTGTGGTGTTTGTGCTATTATTAGCTAGACGATGTTTGGGGGCCAGTCCAGGATTTACCGTAAAAACACGTAGTAGAAGATTTGCCTAATCATTTTGTGGAATACTTATCCCAAATGAATCTTATTTAATCAGAAACAGCTTGCTAGCTGTTTCTGATTAAATACAGAACCAAAAAAACTGAAATGACCAAAACTGTGAGCAGTTGACTTACGTGTGCTTCTTAACTTACTTGGAAAAATGAAATTTAACTTGTTTATATGGAAGAACTTTTTCTTTGAGTGTTAAAAAAAAACTTCTGCCCTTTTCCTTCTGTTTCCCTTTTCCAATCTTTTCTAGAGCAATGCATCAAAGTGCTCATTAAACAAAACAGAGGGACCCATTATTAATGTTACCATGAGCTCTCATAAATTTGCATTAATTTTTAATGAAATTTAATTGGAACTTTTAAACTGCTGCTGAAACAACAAATTAAGGAGGACACAAAAAACAAAGTTTACTAGATAAGTATGTTTCCTTGTTACAAAGGAAACATTGCCAATTTCTTTACTGGCATCTGCAGATAATGGCAAAGGCAAATCAGTGTGAAACATGCAACAGACAATTTGCAGTGTTCTAAAAAATGATAATATATGAAATAAATAAATAAACGCTTTTGAGACATAAAACAAATCTTACCTCTAGAAGCCTCTGTGCTGTGTGGGCTTCCTAATATCTCAGTCAAATCTTTCTGCCATGCGTCTTTCACAGCCGACTTAAAAATCTTCCTATTATTCAGGTCCTGCAGCGGCCTGAAGTTGTTTGTCAGGTACTCGACAGACTTGACGTGGTCCTGTTGTTCCGTAGTGAAGATGGAGCAAAAAGCATCCAGCTGAATGGAGAGAAATGTAGAATAGCTATCAAGGAAAATTTAAGAGCCACTGTTCCTGTGTGTGTGTGTGTGCGTGCACGCGTGTGTGTGTGTGTGTGTGTGCGTGCGTGCATTTGCTGTGTGTGAGTGAGTCAATGTTCACCTGAATGTGTTAAATATAATATATCATGCAGCACTGCATTTGTAGTCACTTGCCAGTAGCTGAATGTTCACAAGCGGAGAGTAGTATTTGCAAGAAACATTTACACCACAGGCAGCAGCAGGCACAGACTTCAATCATCACCCTGGCTACCTGCTGGGCTGTAACTTCTCAATGGGGCAAATTTGTGGCCATTGATTGCCAAGAATGATCTCCTGCCGTGTGCTGTAATGACTACACATTACAGATACTGTGGAATCAATGTGTCCTATGGGTGCTTGGAGAAATGAATTACAGGTTCATAAAGGACTATCTGTGAGCGTCACAAACATTGTAGAGGTGGTCAATAATCTTGCAGCAGAAGTCATTTTTGAACAAAAGATTTGTCCTCATGCAAGTTCATAGAAATTCCACTGAGCCCTGCAAATTTCTGTGGAACAGAATGCACTAGAGAATATGCAGCTGGGTAACCCAGGAATTGTATGTATAAAAGATGCTGCAAAGCACTGTAGAAGGGAGGGGATCAGCAGAAAATAAAAAAAAAGAAGGAAGCACAGGGCGTGATTTGGCATATATTATCTCTCAAAATCACAAACAGCAATAACAGCTGGAGGTAAAACGTTTTAAAGCACACAGGCAACTGCTGCAAAATGCAACATTTTTCATGATCACACACTGGGTGGATACTGTAGGAACACAAATTATGTAAATTGATTAACTAAAACAACCAAGATTGCATGATGACTTGCTTCAGTGTGACACATTATTATATATAACAGACAATTTCAGTAAGACAGGTATTTAATACATTATCTCAGTAAATATGTTGTTGTTGGGGCTATGGAAATAAAATTCACACCAGATTTTGGTAACAAACGCAGTAATCTTCATGTACAAAGAAATAAACAAAACAGTCTGTAAATTGAGTGAACTGTAACAAAGATTATTGACACAGGAATAAGCAATGAACACTGAGTGAAGAAAACACAAAAAAGGCATACTGAGTCAAGAAAATGTCTGAAATCTGTCAGCATTTAGAAAGCAACCCTGATATATATATATGTATATATATATATATATATATATATATATATATATATATATATAAATAATTTTATCTGCTTTAGTTCTAATTAATGACATATAAAGAGATTTCTCATTACAGAGATACAAGAAGCCTCTTGTGATGGATAAAAGCAAAAAGCTCTCTCAAGACCTCGGGTACAGGCATATTTCTAAACTTATAAATATTCCAGTTAGCGAAATCCACAAGCAGAGAGAAAACAATTTCCCCCATAACCTGGCCACAACCAGGTGCTCCTCAGTGGATTTTTGGTTGAGAAGTAGAAAAAAATCTGAAGAATCGTCCCAGAGCCAAACACAACTCACCGATAGCTTAAAAATACTTAAAGAGCATTGTTAAAATTTGCTGCAGAACACTTGGACAGATCAGAGAAAGAGTAAAATGTAACTCTCTCAATATAAATGCACACTCTACGGTTGGAGGAGTGTCACAGTCAGGGATACCTTACCCAAGACAATTTTTAAAATCATACTAAGACCAAGATTTTAAGGGAAAGGAGGCAAACCCAATTTCAAGCCCATTTTAAGTATCTACTGTTAGCAAACGTTTGCTTGCTAACTGGTGTCACTCGTGCGCCTTATTTTTTAGTCCGGTGCATTTTAGGTGGACCCAAATTTGCATGTAAGCATGTAAGGGGCACTGAGGCCAGTGTTGGAAGTTTCAATGAACAAAACTCTGTCAGATGCATTTGAATGCAGACAGGACTTTCAGACTATTCAGACTAAATTGCAGCAAAAAAAGTGAAGGTCCTTTGGTGACGCACATCTAAAACTTCGAGAAGAGAATGCGGTCTTATGACTGGCTTCTCCACATATCTGAAGGGAGACAATGATCCAAAAAAATATAGCCTTGGGAACTCTCAATTGATTTCAGAAAAAATGAAAATGAAGCTACAGGAATGGGCCAGTTAAGCACTCGACTTGAATCCAAATTAAAAGAACTGGAGATCGTATAAAAAGTCCCCCATAAAACATTTAATATTTGTGAAAAAGAATGGGTCAAATGTCATACCTGAGTAAAACATGCAACAACCTTCTCCGTACAAGAGATAATCTAAACCTGGCATTTCCAAATGAGGATTTCCTGTTGGGTACTAAATAAATTGCAGCAAGCATTTGAATATTTATATTTTTAATAACTTTATAAACTATTTGTTTAAGTTTTTTTGCATTGTGTGGATTACATCAGTTGTTACCAAAATCTGGTTTAAATTTCATGTCCATAGGCCAGTAGATACATTAACAGTGAAAAACCAGTACTGTGTGCTCAACACTTATTTTCCCTGCTATATAAGAGTAGGTGCTGTCAAATGCCAGTAATTGGCTGAACCGTCCTGTTTAATCATGCGCTGCATAGGCAGTCATGGTTTTATATGCAAAGGAGCTGGAGAGAAATGTGCAAAAGGGACTAAGGAGGTGAGGCACATGAGGGAAAATTGCTTGTGCGTTCACAGAGGTGGACTGCAACTGATCCACAAATGGGATCTTAGTGTGTGAGGCGAATACAGCAGTCGAGGTGTGTTGGTGTGTGTGCATGTGTGCGTGTGTGAGTGTGTGAGTGGACTTAACGCACCTGTGAGTGGGACAGATACACGGGCCTGGAGAAGATGATCCACTCCACTACTTTGCTGCAGGGCGGAGTGGTCAAAGAGCCGGTGTATCGGTAATAACTGTCCACCGACGAAGGCAGCAGATCCCTCAAGATGAATGACCTGAGGTTGGTCTCCTTTTCTGGGTGAGGCATGGGATTAAAATTTGTTAGTACACAGATCTTTAAAGCTTGGTGTTCTGCACGTGGCCCCATTTCACCCTCCTTGTGGCGTTTTTACAGCTTTCCTGAAACCTCCTCTCATGGAAGGGCAGTAGTTAAAAGCCTCAGTACTTGTTATCACCCAGGCCAGATCTTTGTAGTGAGATGGGCTGAGAGAGGCGCAAAAGCAGGGAAGTCTGATAAGATGGCCAACCCTGACAGCTGATCTGTGGCTGGGTGGCAGTGTGCGCTGCTCCATGTAACAACTGTGGCTGGGCCACGGGGATTAAGAAAGATCATTATGATTAGCAGATTTGTTGTGTTGTGTGATTAAAACCTGGCAAAGCTGAGCAGAAAAAATACAAACAAATGAAAAAAAAAAAAAAAAAACATATAGAGGAAGATGTCTTTATCTCCTGTAAATATGCTGTGTGGGTTATGGAAGTTGGTTTGTTTTATCCTAGAATTATGAAGACAGGATCCTAAACAAAGCTGAATTTACATCAAATCCAATCTCTCACTGCCTATGGCCTTATCTTTAAAGAAACAGAGGTTCGGGGTGTGGTTTGCATTCAAACAACAGACGCACGGGCAGCTTCGCCCCTTTGCTTCATCTGTACTCTGAGTCAAACTCAGTATGCACGGCCTTTCTTCTCCCTGTCTTCAGACGGTGTACGTGCCCTATCGCTCCTGGGCCGCCGAGATGCTGATGGATGGATGACTGTGGGATAACGAGCTAGTGGAAAAGCAACCATCCTAACAGGGGAGAAGGCGAAGAGCATTTAGCAGCTAGCAGGAAGGGAGTCCAAAAAGCTGCAACATCCATGCCAAGCTCTTTGTCAGCTGGGGAAATGGGATTCTGTGGTGCTAGAACAAACATCTGTGTATGTGCACAGCACAGATTCATGCCAGGCAGGCTTTGGCTTGGGAGGTAGAGCAGGTTGTCCACCAATATTCAGGGCTCACTGCTCAGTCTTTGACCCTTCCAAATAGCATTATGTCCATGAGCAAGAAAATGAACCCAAAGACGCTCCTAAAAGCACAAGCCCTTTACAGTTATTATATATCTGTAAATGGATAAATGAAAATGTAATAAAAGTAGGGGTTATGTTTAAAAAGCAGGCTTGTTATGTATTTAAAAAGTAACTGATGTATATAGTATCTTCTTTTTCTTAAACCACAGAACAAGCATGGGCCGGTAGTTGGTGTTTAGGTATAAATACCTGTAAATGTTACACAAGCTGAATTTTAACAGTTACCATAGTTAACAGTCACAAAGAGGCAAACATTGAGGATTAGCAATCCATGAAAAGAGGGATTTTTGACGATGTATACAAAAGTAGTGCATCCATATATGAGGAATATAAATTATGAGGCACAGATTTTAGTTTTTCTGTTGTTTGCAAACAATATTTAGACACAAAATGTTTTTCCCCTTAAGGAACATGTGGCAGTGACTTTTTGTCCAAACATGGTGCAACATTGAATCGGCCCTGCAGCTGTACAGCGGATGGTCCTGGTAATTATCCATATCGGCTTATTTAGTTGTATCTTCCTATGAAGAGAAAGCCAACAAATCAGCCATACTTTACATTAATATTTTAGATATTTCTGTAAATACAGTGATACTTTCGCTCATATCTAATCCATAATTTAGATATGTAGCTCATAATCCACTGCTCCACATTGAATGTGTTGCTCAAGAAAAGTAAATGTGGGAGCAACATCTCTCTTAGTAAGGCAACTGCAGCTGGTAAGCTGCCTGAGAGAGACATATCTGTCAAGGAGTTGTCCTCCCCAAGCAGGTAGTTCGTCTACTGTACCAACTAATATCACTGTGCTTTCCTTGTGTTATTTTACACAAAGCAGAATTAAAAAGGTGTCATTTGCAGGCAATAAGCCCTTAAAAACTGTCAGTATTTATATGTTTGTATAATTTCAGCAGCTGTAGGAATAATTGCCTTTTTTGGTAAAATACAAGCAGTTCGATAGTGTTACAGATTTTTGTGTTAATTGTATTTTCACTTATAGTTACCGCAGTCATGTTCCACCCCATTCTTATTACAATACAAAAGAGGGCCTTCAGTTTTCTTTATTGCGTTTACTTCAATTTGAAGTGACCTATTTTATCCTATTTTACTTTCCTGGGGCTAAAAAAAACATGTGGTGATAGTCTCTAGAGATGAGAGGCATTTAAACAAGAATATTTTTTTTCTATATCAAGTAGCACACATGTTCCTGCAAGTCCAACACCAAATGTCCATCTCCTTTCAAATTTTAATCAGAATCAGCTGCGTGAAGCCGCTATGAGAGTAAAAAAAAAAAAAAAGAAAAAAAAAATGCAATACACTTCCAAACATCATCTTGTGTGAGTGTACAGTAATGCTTGCAAAATCACTGCCACCATCAGGTCTTAAAGGAGCCAAACATCGAGCCTCAATCTGCAGTAAATATGCATACAGTGATTTCAGCCCAGCAGCAGTGACTTTATGGAACGAGCAATCTCATTAAGACTCGTGCCACAGCACATAACAAAGAACATTAATAGTTAAAAAGCGAGTATGAGGCTTTGCAACTGCCACAGTCCATGAGAGGACATAAAAGACAGAAACTGGAGGTGGGGCGGTTTAAATGAGGTTCAGATGTAATTAATAGTTCTGTGTTTATGAGTGAAACACTGTGGAGGTCTCCTCCTGCAGAGTTTTTCTACCAAGGGATAAGCAGCATCTTGCAAATTTATTCTGCTTTTGAAGTTACGATCTTTTTTTTTTTTTTGGTGGTAAGACTAATTTAGAAAATATATATTCTCTAATATATATATATATATATATATATATATATATATATATATATATATATATATATATATATATATATATATATATATGCGCAAAAATCTGAGAACATCAATATTTGTTTGCTGGGAGCATGTCGGAGTCCGTACTGCCAGAGAAATGTACCTCTTGGATCCTCCACTGTCAAGTACGAAGCAATGTCAAAGGGATTTTGTAAGGGTCAATTGCTTTTTGAAAATCCCACACAAATTTAATTCCTACTGTAATGCTTTGTGATAAGGAGATTTGGGTATGAGGCATGACAACATATAAAATAAATAAATGAGTACAAATACTTCAGAGAAGCAAAGAACAATCCTTTCTCCAAATATTAATCTACCTTCACGGATATACTGGTGTTTTTACATGAAGCAAACTTTGCATGAGGGTACTTTTTCATTACTTACCATGGTGCACCACCCCTTTCAATCCCTGGATGATTGGGTCCACAGCTGGGTTGTCTTTTTGCCCAAGCTGCAGCAAATGTCCAAAGACAAAAGGGGATTATGGGAAAGGATTAGGAGAATTGTACAGCAATTTAAACAAAGAATTAAAATGACAATCAACATGAACAAAACACAGGGAGAAGCCATAAGAGCAACATATAAAACGTATTGTAACCAAGCTGCTCCTAATACCATCTAGTGACATTATCGTGCGAATATTGTTCCTGTAATACATTTTCTGTTAGAATTGGTTTAATGGAGAGCTGCCGCTGCAAAATAAAAACTGTCTTAACGTATTATTTGATTAATCATGGCCTTGACTGTACTGAATATAAGAGTGTCTTTTTACTTGTACGTATAAAGATGCAGGTCCTAAACTGAGGTGCAACCAGCTTCTGTGTGCAAGACGACGTAATGCAACCACCAAACCCGTCATCTTACGAAACGCTACAGCTTGGAGGCAGTGCCTGGAGTCTCACTTCAAGACTGCTTGTGAACTCTTATGAGCATCCCTGTACAGTTTAAAAGCAACAGCAAAAAACAACATTTTTAGCCAACAGCTATGTTTTGACCAGCACTCCAACAGATGATTATTTGTGATTTTAAGGCCAAAATCCATAGATTATAGACATTTATCAGATTATAGAAAGATAAGGTGAGACAGATTTTGATTAAGTAGATTGTCATGAATTGAATACAACGCAAAAAAGGTTGCTCCTCATTATTTTTCTATAATAAACTATGATAAACAAGCATAACATTATGACCACCTGCCGTATAATGTGTTGCTTTATTTTCTGTCAAAGTGGCTCTGGACTCCATACGACTCCACTAGGATCTGTAGGCAGGATGTTAGCAGCTTTAAGTCCTGCAAGTTGTGAAGTAAAGACTCTGTGCGACATACCACTATGTTGAGCACATTTAACAGATGTTCAGCAGGTGTCGTTACCTATTCCTGTCTTCACTTTTTACATTTATATCACGCATTTACTCTTCCTGGAGTAAATGTGTTCCTTAGACTGTTCCTGAGTTTTTTTTTTTTTTTTTTTTTGCTTTGCAGCAGGGCATACGAAAAGGCCACAACCATCAGGGAATACTGCGTCCATTAAAAAGTTGTACAAGATCTGCAACAATACTTGGGTAGATGGCTGGCGTCATGTGTTACCCAGCGATGCACATCCATGAACCAGACCAGCCCACCTTCTTCCATTCCACTGTGGTCCAGATCAGAAGTCCATGTGTCCATTTTCGATGGACGCCTACCACTGCAGACTGGGAACACCTCAGAACCCCTCTGACCCCGTTGTCTAGCCATCCCAATTTAACCCTCGTTAAACTTGCTCAAACTTTTAACTTTCCCGATTTTTTCTTGCACTAAGTAGCAAACATTCGCTTGCTACTTAATGTATAAACATTAAGATGTTCAATGATAATGGGATAAGCAATAAGGTTGCTGTTATGCCTGATTTGTGCCAGCTGAGTTCACAATATGATCTATCCAACTGATCATTAGTCACTTGCTTTTGCTGGAGAGATAATCATTTTGACTACCACAAAACTTAGCTACAAATTATGCATTCATGTCTTGTTTCTTTAACATTACTGAGAATCTGTGCTGTGTGTCATCTGCTGTTAGTGTGTGGTTTCTGGCAACAGCATCTAAAACTGGAGTTTGCAATGGCAACAGACTGTAGTGGGTCTCCTCGCAGTGAGAAGTGTAAGTTTTGCAAACAGCAGCAGCCGTGCAGGCAGGCAGTCTGTCCAGACCATAAGTGTTTGGATAGTTACACACTTTTTGTACTTCGGATGATACGCTTCAGAAGATTCAGCCCAAAGTACATATTGGATAAGAAATTATCGCGCAAAGTCTTGGATTAGTTTTACTGATGCATCAAAAGAACTTTGTGAAAGACCTAGCTCTTAGCACACTGCTTAAAATGCAAGTGTAATAATTTATATTAATGTAATATTTAAAGTGAGAACATTCAGTTTCTCCAAGTTTCACTTTTTTTTTTTTTCCAGTGAAAGCACTCCACATTCTCAGATGGTCTCTGTCAGCGTGATTTATTGGGGTGGTATTTTGTGAGGAACCATTGCAGTGATGTAAAATTTACAGGTTAAGCAAGTGGAAAACGTGCTTGCACAGGTGTGAGACGGCAATAGAGCTACAGAAGATTTCATGATGTAACAAAACACAAAATGAAGAAATAATGAAAAAAGCAGCACAATATACGTTTGCTGGGGTACAAGTTGTTCCAGATATAACACTATAAAAAGTCTTTTGTTTTATGTTGAAACAGTAGAGCCTAAGTGATAAAAAAATATATATATTTTCTGGTTGTTTCAAATCGATAAATACTTCTTGTGCTTTTGGACTACGACTGTGCAGAACTACAAAAAATTTACACAATAGTGCAACTTTGCAGCAGGGAAAATATGACAAATATCCAGATTCCCTTGTTAGTGCAGTTATAAACTTTTATGTATTTTATTAGGATTCGGTATGACAAACCAAGACAAAATAGTGTATATGAAATACTCTGAGACGAAATCCAGTCCGTCATTCAAAATGACCAATCAGTGAAGAAGAGCAAGAAAAAGTCAGCAAGAGGCCCATCGTAACTCTGGAGGAGCTCCAGAGATTCACAGCTAAATCTTTTGACAGGATGATCATGAGTTGTATACTCCACAAATATGACCTTCATCGAAAAATAGCCTGAGGAAGGCCCATGATGAAAGAAAGTCATAAAAAAAATCCAGTGTATGTTTGCCACAAGCCATAGAGGGACACCAAAATCACCAAAGAATGTCATATGGTCAAAGTTCAAGTTTTGGAGCCTTGTGTAAAACACCGTTTTATAAAACTAACACAACACATCACCTGGAAAACTCCCCACTGAGACACACTTACATGGTGGCATCATTATGTTATACAGATGCTTTTATTCAGGAGGAAAAGATAGCTAGACAAACAGAACTAAATACAAGGTAATCCTGTAAGAAACCTGTAAGAGACTGTCAGAGATACTTTACATCAGGAATTGACAAAAATGCCAGTGTTTTGATATGCAAAGCTACACACTAAAAAGTTTACAGCTGTAGCTGTAACAAAAAGTGGTTCTGCAAAATGTTAGTCTGGTAAAAACTAGCTCCTTGTTCTGCGCTTCATACAGAGGGTCTGGACCCTTATCTATTGAGAACGATTGCTGACAGGAGGTGTAGACTTATTGACCTGATGAAATTCAACCTGAGAAATTGAACTCAATGGGAAAAAAAAAACACAGATGAAGCACCGAAGAGAGATGAGAATGGAGCGAAATATTGTTGGAATGCATTGGCTAAGCTAGCAAAATGTAGTCTCTGTGCGGTGAATACGAGGTTTCTATTTACAAAAAAAAAAAAAAAAGGAATTTTTTTATCCACTTGAGATGCTCTAGTTTGTGCTGCTCAATCACACGAAGCCCCACACAAACACTGAGGCTGGTGGTCGCAACAGGACAAAATGTATCACAAGAGTTATAAATACTTCTGCAATACTCATCGAACCACATTAACTTCTATCTCAGTCTTCTCTCAGTGCTGTGGCTCGCTGTATATAACTGCTCTCACACATGCACCACACATCCCTTAATGTAACAGCAACTGAACGTGTCAGCGTCACGCATGAATTCCCACACTTCTTCTGAACATTTTGTGAAATTGTGTGGTAGAAAAATGTGACTAGTTCGGAGCTAGTAACACTTATCGCTTTCAACATAACAGGAGTCTGAGCTGCAGCCCCGACACTAACAGACTTGCACGCAGAGCAGCGGCTGTTTGATCTGATTTCTGATCGGCAGTTGCGAAGAATCCGACAGATGAGTTATTAAATAATGAAATAGCGTTGCTATCCAAACTGTCCTCTCCTATTGGATAACCAAGGATAATTAGCAGCAGCCAAAATGTGGAGAAAATATATTTTTTAGCTTTTAATCCACAACAGGATGCATTAAAAAAAAAAAAAAAACAACAACTCACAATGTTCTTGTAATTCTGCATTGTGTAGTAATAGTGAATAATGATGTAAAGGTTTTTCTCAACATGGTACATATTCTGGGATAAATATACCTTTACCAGATGGATGGCTTTTTTACCTTCAGCAAGAATTGTGTCAGGAACATTAACAGCAAAGACACCAATGTGTGAACAAGCTTAGATTTCACAAACTGATGTACCGATTAAAGATTCATGATTCTTCCGAAAGATTTCCAAGAATCTCTTTAAATTTTATGAAGTAAAAACTTTTAATCTCACAGCGTGTTCAGGTCTCTAATGATCATGCAATCCCTCAGGAAGATTCCTTTGTAATCTGTTCAACGTATCCTTAATTGCTGGGAGTGACAAGGTTATTTTTTTTTACCCAATAAGTATCTCCAATGTCCTACTTAAGAGACAAGACTGGACAAAACAGTGTTGGGACGTGGGGACCATTTCCCCCACCGTTACGCAACATTAATTCAGGTCAGTTTGAGGAGAATAATTGTGTGGGACTGAAGGCTGAATGTGGATAATATTGCACACCTTAGAGGCCTTTAATAGGCCTTTTGGGAGCACAGAAAGAACTCTCGTCATTGATTAGAAATTGTAAATCTGAGCCAATGTGTGTGTGCCCGCTTAAACAAAAAAAAAAAAAAACCCTCGCACTGTAAACTGCTATTCAGCGGATTGTGTATGGTGGTGCTAATTGCAGTAAGCAATAGGGCTGTCAGGACCCAGCGGAGGCATTTAGGTCCTCGCACACACGCGGTTCATCACTGTCTGAGAACAGACCTACATTACGAAACACCTGTGTCCCCATTCCAGCCTCCATCCAGCAGATTTCCGACCCTAACCGGTATACTGTTAGGCCGAATGGTGGGATGCATTGATCACCTGCCAATACTTGTAAAGGAAATCCTAATAGAAATTAGCGTAACACAGACGAAGGCTCACAAGTTGTGAGTACAGCTTCTAAGAGTTCAAACAATCCCAGCGGTGCTTTTACACTAACCAATAATGTGGACCAATCTTACTAATCAAGACTGAATGTGTCCAGAGTGCCAGGGGACAATTTGTGCCATCTACTAAGCTATTTTTCAAATCCCGAGTATGAACCGAGGGTGGAATAGATTTCTACAAGTAGGAAGTGAAAGATAATTTAGATCACAAATCTATAATGATCTCAAAGATGTTGTTTATTTTCCCGTTATTGAAATAACATGAATATAGCTTCACATTTAAATGTTAAAGTGGGAGCTAGAGATTATATCAGTAAAGTTTTGTTAAAAAGCTGTATAAAGATGAATTTCTGGTCTTTGATTAGCATAAATCCAGATTAGTGGGAGCCAGAAGCAGAGACTAAACCCTAGTCCGGTAGAAGTCAATAGCAAAGCAGACTTGTACAGTCTTAAAACAATTCTAATCTCAAGAAGTGGTTGAAGGGAAATATTTTATTTAAGAAGCTTTAAATTGTTGTAAGTTGAAAATGTGTTCTACACCGGAAGATCATTAATATCCTACATTTATTTCCGGTGAAAATATTAATTGGCTTCTTTCAAGGATGGGGATTTCAGCCCACGACTCAGACTCAAGTAAAATGGATTTAATGGTTTATAACTAGCTATAAGTAACAATAATGAGCACAGTGATGTTTCTCAAACTAAACTCTGCATTAAATGATGTTGGGTTGTTAAAAAATATATATTTTCTCTCTTTTAAGCTAGTAAGATTACAAAGTTAGCTTTTGTTTTCTGAAAAAAAGATTTATGAAATGGTTTCCCTGTCAACAAATATAATTTTTTGACAGGGAAATAATTTTAATGTGTAACCTACAGAAATCCAATAGCACAGGCAGATTAGATGGCACAGAGCTGATGTACAAATGTTAATATCAATTAGAAACTTAAGACTTGACTTGAGACAAAAGGTTTGCAACTTTGCTTGGAAAAAAAAAACAACAACAAAAAAAACCCAAAAAACAAATGCATCTGGTTTTTTGTTTAAAACAACCAACTAATGCGATCCCACTGAAGGTTTAAAGGCACGAAAGTTGATTTATGATGACAGCAGTCTGCTCTGGTCTGGACCTCTTTCAGGAAAAATAACTGTGCAGAACCTTTTAAAAGAACCGCAGCTAAGTTTTTTAAAATTAAATATTCATTTAACTGTTATTGATTTCACTCCCTTAACTCTGTACATCAGATTTTATTCTTAAGTTTCAAATTCTAAACTCCCATTATGCAGATACAGGTGTTTTATAAGCTTCTGGATAAGGACATTTTCCATAAGTGCTCCAAGCAACTAGAGGCAGAGCTGTTACAAAGAAGTTATCCTCAAGAGTGGAGCAATTCCACTGAGAAAACTGAACTGTGGGTAGGAAAATGAACCCTTTATGCATGAGGATGTTTTAACATATTGCACGGTGCCGCTGCGTAGACCACACTTGCACTAGCTGAATGCTAATGTCTGAGTGCAATATTTGGTGAGTTCTTGAAGATGTATATATATGTCCCAGATGTGACTACACTCAGCTTGCCTGCATGCTGAAATTTGCTAATTAGTGTGAAGCACAATTAACCGAAATGTTAGCAATTTACCCCGAAGGAGAAACGAAATTTGACCCAAGAAAGGAAATTGTGGAACTTGTTTTGGAATTTTCTACTGGGAAAAGTATCTGTACCCCTCTAACCTTTTTACATGTTGACATATTACAACTCCAAACATTAATATAATTTGTTGACATTACATGTGATGGACCAACACAATTACTGTATGGTTTAGATATGAAAGGAAAAACAACAGTTTTTTCCTTTCTTTTTTTTTTAAACAAATCTAGGAAATCTAAATAGTTTTCTGTGTATTTGCACTGAGTCTCTTTACTCTGAAACCAGTAAATAACATACAGCACAACAAACTGCCTGCAGGAGTCACTTAGTTAGGAAATAGAGCCCACCTGTGTGTAGTTTGATCTCAGTAAAAATAAATACAGCTGCTCCTTTCAAGGCCTCTGAAGTTTGTTAGAGATTATATGTGAACATATAGCGTCGTGCAGAACAAGGAACAAAGCAGGGAGGTCAGAAATAAAGCTGTGGTGATGTTTAAATCAGGGTTAGGTTGTAAAAGAACATCCTAAGGAGAGCAATAATCACAGAGACAAGCTGAGAGACTCGAGGTACCTCTGAAGGAGCTGCAGAGATCCACAACTCCGCCAGAATAATCTTTCAACAACACGGCCATTAATAGTGAACTCAAAAAAATCTGGATTTTAAAGAAACTATCAAGGTCAAAGCTATACAGTAATAAAAATCACAACTTAACCCTCTTTGGGATGCATAGCAAAAATACAGAGAAAAAGACCAACATTGAACTCTGGCCAACATTTAAAAACGTTTAAATGTGTGATAGAAACATAGCACTGAATACAATATTCCCAACAATAAGACAAGATGCTGGTAACATCAAGTCCATTCTGTATAACTGTCCTTTCACTGCACAACAACAAACTACTTTGTGTTGATCACATAAAATTACAATAAAACATGACGAAAAGTCAAATTCCTCTGCAGAGCAATGTGATGATGCAGCTTATACCAACAGACAAATGCCTCTCTACATCCTCAGAGTTTGTAAGCAAACTATAGATCTTTCGCTGAGATACTTTACCTCAAAGAAGACAGCCATGGCGGCGATGATGCGTCTTTCCTTCATGGCCGCGCTGAGGCTGTCGAAGTCGTCTGAATTGTAAAGGTAGATCTGCATCTGGGATGGGGGAAACAGAGCATAGACAGCTTTAGGAGTGGACAAGGAGAAGGAGGAGTCCTCTCATCAATCACCTTGGACGCACTGCTGAGAAGCTGATGAAAAGCTGTTTTGAGGGGCAGAAAAGAGGGAGTATTTATCACTCTTATAAATCTCTCATAATCTGTGTCAGTCTTTTTTTGTGTGCGCGCTGCCACTCCGGGAGGCTGCCAAAGAAATACAGCATCCCATTTCTTAGGGCGACCGTCCTCACAGGCACAGTAACGAGGCGAGAGGAGAAAGTGGTGGTGGTGGTGGTGGGGGGGATGCCCCCCCCACCCCTTCTTGTGCAAAGATCTAACAGAATGATACGCCTCTAATCATGACTCCCAATTACCTTAAATCACCCACAACATTGCTTCAGATTTCACAACAAAGCTTGAGTATAATTTAAAACACATCATACACAGAATATATCACATACCTGTCATGGTACTAGCTTTATTCCCAGCAAAAAAAAAGGAATAAAAAATAAAAAATCCCACTTCTTTCATTTCAAGGCAGTCATGTTATGGTGGCACTGATCAAAATCAGCAAATGATTCTAAAAGTAGCAATTGGAGCTGTCAATCATCTCACTGTCAGGCCTCTGTAAATTGAAAAAAAAAGCCTTTCATGTCACTGAACCAAGTTAATTGGCAATAAGAAAAAAGAAAAAAAAAGGACCTAGATGTTGATTTAATTAAAGGCTGGGGTGTCCCTTTCTTTCCCTTGTCAAAGGAAAATCACGGGGCACCGCCAGCCACAACTGACTGTGCCGACAACAAATTTAAAATAAATACGTAAATAAGCATATAATCAAGGATAAGTCCCATTTACACAAACTCTTCGGGCCCGGACCAGGTTCAAAATGACTCAATCCAAATAATTTCAGTTAATCAGCTTGCTTCAGAGTTCCTTTAACTGCGGCCTTTAATGGAACTAATTTGTTGTCTGAGAACTCAGCAAGAAAGAGGACTGGCCATTCATCACCCTTCAGATGTTATTAACTACATTACCCCATTAGGGCTGCCCCCCCCTTAGGCTTCATTTACTCACTGAGAATGGCTCATGTGACCCGTTCTTGTTAACAACACACTTTATAAAACCTGCATTTCAATTATACACGTCCATAGGAGTCAATAAAGGAATTCTGTATCTCTTGATTACTCATTTTCTTAATGTATGTTTGGAGAGAGCTGACAAACTCTCCACGCTGGAGCCGGAGATAAAAATGTTGATTTAAATAAGAACAGACAGGTGGCCTGACAAATCTTTGAGCTCCCTGAAAAGCACAGGAACGTACTGTTCACATCTCCAGAATCGCTCTTTAATCTCACGTCGGTTTATACCATCCAGTTTTTTTTTCCCTCGCTCTTCATTTCCAGCACAAAGTGAGCGCAAAAACAAAACAAAAAAAAAAAAAAAAAAAACTTAAAGCCACTCTGCATTTCCATGTCCCATTTAAACGGCAAAGGTGAAAAACAAAGTCAGGTTTGGCATGATTTCCCAAGACAGCAAAATGTAGAGCAAAGAACTGGAAAAAAAACTACTAAAATATAAGTTTCAGCACACTGAGATGTTATATCGGGGAAAGGCAAATGTATTTCTCCTTCATCACTGTGTCGCCAAAGAATTTCATTGTTACCAGATATACGTTCACACTTCTCTATCACACACAATTATCTGTCTCCGTTGTTTTTCCAAGCTCCTCAGAGTATCGAAGAGGTGAAGTTAAAAGTCACTTTAGTATGACTGAAGAAACATATAAAACATGAATTCTGAGAATAGATTACAGACTAAACTTCATAGGTATGTGTAACAAGTTTGTTGGAGGAAAAAATACGAAGAGTTTACTGAACAGAAATAACTTGAAGACATTGTAGTAAGCCCTATAAGAACTTTTTTTTTTTTCTATTCAGTGTTAAATATTTAACTTTTTAACCATAAAAACAGACCGACTTTCTTGGATCCTTTTAGGAAAACCTCATTTTATGCATTTCTAAGAATTATTTTATGAACCATGAATGTTCATTGTTTGTTTAACAGCAATATTCATGCTTGAGAAGAGCAGTTTTACAAGCAGAGACATTTGCTTTTAAACCACCCATCAGTCTTTCCAAGAGATATACTTCAATTTTTTCAACTGAAATTTACCGCATTATGTTCTTTTTTTGTAGATATTTTTGCCACTAATACATAGAAATAGCCTGAAAGCAAAACTTTTGAAAGTTTTGCTTTCAAAACTATTAAAATTGTTCACTGTGGAACAGTTTAACGTCCTTTTAATGGGATGCCAGAGTTTTCTCAGTAGGTATGGAGCAAACGGTGCGTTTTATTTGTCCAGATAAGTGGAAATCTAAATGGCTTCTTATGCTGGAATCTTGACTTGGAAAGGTCCCAATATTAACATTAAGGCTGCACAAACGTATTGTTTTTGGAAAATCACTGTAAGCAATAGACATTTTTGGAAGAACTGTCTGGACCACAATTAGTGCTAGCTTTACATTTAAGTATTACACATTCAGGTTCTCTACTCATTTAATATACTTCATAAAGTCTTAGAAGCACTTTTAATATAAATGTTCTATGTTTTCAGTAGCTGGATATACTTTTTTACCATCAAGGAACAATGTTCTCCTGAAACACAAAGAAGAAAGACACTTTTTTACTTATTTATCTATTGCAAGTTATTGCATGTTTTTTCCCCAATACTGACCTTAATCATAACATAGTGACACACATCATCCTGTACAACCAACTATTTGAGACTATAGTCATTGTTTTGAGCAAAATGCAACACTATTGGCTTGTGTTCCTAATGCTAATAGTTATCGCCATAAGAATGACCAAGACTAGCTGGTTACAGTATTTGTAACCAGTAGGCGCTCAACTTGGGTAAGTTCCAGTTTTTCCCTTCCTCGCCTCCAAAAAAGGTCAAACTGAAGGGTTTGTAAATATTTCTGGTTGTAGAAGCTTGCAACCCATCAATCTTATTAGGAAAAGACAGCACAGGGCAGCTTGCTGAAAGGAGACTTTTACACTTTTCCCTCACTCAAAGCAAAGACAAGTTGGGTTGCTGGAAATACAGTATTTACAGTCACAAGTATACATCCAGCTACATAAAGATCCGGTATACATGTGTACAAGAAAGGCACTGGATTTCTTGTTCTTTTTGTTTTAAATAAGCAAAATTGGATCGAGTTATACATTTTTTACTTGGCAGTGCTGTGATGCTGTGAAACTGTGGTAGTTTGGATCAAGTTTTAATCAAAAACTGAGAATCTCACACAGGCCCATGCCTACTGGTGAGAACATCAGAAGGATGTTTGTCGGGTGCAGAGCCTTGGCTCCATGTGACTCTAACATGAGGCAGGGCAGGGAATCAAACCCTAATTTCTCTAAACACGTGCTAGGTATCAATTATGTGTATTATATCTAAATTTTCCTAATTTTTTTTTTCCACATACAGGTGTATTGATTTTGATTTTCTTTCTAAAAAGCACAGGATTTGGTGCGTGCAGCCGTTTTCATTTTCTGCATGCGTTTCTTATAGTGCTCTGCATTTAGCTCCTGGGCTCTGCCTGGGTCAGTCTTGACTCATCCAACACTCTTCTATTTCCTACTTTTTTCCTTGCTTTCAGTGGAGCTTTTATCTTCCTTACTGTATGCCCACAGTAATACTTATTCATATGCTCTTAGTGCTGGTTGTGCAAACGTATACCCTTCCAAAGTGTGATTTGTAATCCATGTATAATTAATCTAACCTCAGCGACAACCTAATACATTATAGGGAAAGATCTCCCTGAGGAACCCCGAGGGGAGAAAAAAAAAAAAAAAACTCCACACTTTCATTTGTCATAGAGCTGTTTGAGTGAACAGGTGGTCCATCTATCGATTTGCCCACTTCACTCCCAAGAAAAAGAACATAGTTAGATTAATGTCAAGCTCAGGAGCCACAGGCCAAGCACTCCATTGGGTACTTTCCTTTTTTTGGGAGGAGTTAAAGATATCCAAGCGAAAAAGCCAGATCTGCTCCATAACATGGCTCATTGAAACTAAATTTGTCTTTCACCTCTTGTACACATGAAACCAATCTGTGTATTTTGAAGCTTCAGATAAAAGCCCTTTTCCTCTGCTGTGAACAAACATGCTTGACATCTGACTCAAGGCTGAATGTGACTCATTTGTAGTGAGAGATAATTAAAAAGAAAGCCGGAGATCAGTTTTAGTTCACAGATAAACAAGTCTGGGAGATCAGGCTTCTTGGTCAAGCTGCTCATGTCTTGAACAAAACACACGTTACGCAAAAACAAAACCCGACCTCTGCTATGACAGGACGCTGGCTACACCGAGCGCAAACATTTATACGAGCCGTATAACGTACACAATTCAGCTGCACGCATCCTGTCAGATTTAATGTAATCTGAAATATATCAAATTGTTCAGCGTCGCAAATATGAAAAATGAAAAAAGCAACTCTTACAAGATGAAGCAGTCAAATGGCTAAGGGCTAGCTCCTACACAACCACACTCCCCCTCAACCATTCATCATTTCATTTTACTTATACCCTCTGCTTCACACTGTGGAATAATACATCACACTTGATTTATGTATTCTGACTTATCAATAAGAGAAAATTTTTAAAAAGCAGACCTCCAATTCTGTTGCTCCTGAGGTGTGTCATGAGTATCTACATGTGTAGTTAACAGCTACGATGGCAGAAGTTGCTTTGTTGTCCCTCTTGTATGAAAAGTCGTGGTAATGTACTTCTTTTTTCTTTTAACACACTGGTGTGATGGAAGTTGCCATGAGAGGTGTTTGCTGACCCACTTTTTCCTTCCTCAGGCATCATCATACCCTGTGCAACAGAAATCCCATGTGGGATTGCTGTTCTTTGTGTGGGGACCTATCAAGCTGGAATAATGTAAGCAAACCTAAAACAATGACCTGAAACAATAAGAACGCTAACAATAATAATA